TGTGGCACGTGGCGCATGCAGCAAGAAAGGCCCCGGTTCGCCTCGACCCTTGGAGGCCCTCCTCGCCCCGACGCGGCAATAAATGCAGACAAAAAGCCAACAAGCCTCCAGGTCGCGTTCAATCGCGCGTTGCGGCCCGCGGGCTTGATTCACGGCCTGGAGTGGGTCAGGAGGGTTGATTTGTGGCTCCCAAAGGCGGGGCGGAGCGGGGCCGCTGATCCCCACAGGGGCCGGAGCCATTTGTAGCCGCATCACCATTGTCCGCTTACGGCGCGCGTTACGGCGCCGGCCGTCCCCCTTGCAGTGTCCGTTACATCGCCGTCCGTCGCTCCGTCTCTCTCGCACCCCTACGGGCCGCGCCGTGAGTGCGACAGGGACGGAGCGACCGAGTCGCACCGTCAGCAGAGTGCAAACGCGGCGGGACTTTGACAAGTGGCGACGCGATCCCCGCTCTCAGTGATGGACCGGCGCCGTGATTGGCTGCTCGAGGACGCCGATGACGACATCGAGGCGGACGATGACGGGGATTGGCGGCCGAGACGGATGCCGACAGACCGCGCCGCGCCACGCCCCTCTCTCGCTCTCTGCTGCCAGCAGCGGAGTTATACGCGCCTCGGAGAAAATCAGAAAAGTTGTTTGGCTGTAAATCCTCATGCTGCTGCCCCTTAACGAATGTGTGCGCAGCGTTGCCGCCAAATCCCGTGCGCTCAAAGGCGAAAGAGGCGTGACGTGTGTGCGCGCGTGTGTGTGTGTGTGTGTGTGTGTGTGTGTGTGTGTGTGTGTGTGTGTGTGTGTGTGTGTGTGTGTGTGTGTGTGTGTGTGTGTGTGTGTGTGTCGTCACGTCGTCGGCCGCGCCTCCCTGGCGGCGGGACAGGTACATGCCGGCTTTTTCCCGTCCCGCCGGCTGCCAAATTGACCCACATATACCTCTCCTCGGCCCACCTGGCCACCTGGCCCGTCGCTGAGCTGCCAGGCCGCCGCGCCGCCCGCCGTGCAATATGAATGGTACACAGAAACGCCAAGCACAATATCTTGTCCAATCATAAATAAGCCTCGGCGCATAAAAACGTCGGGTGGCGGGGCCCTGGCTGGGGCCTGGCTGGGGCCCTCGGCCGCGCTGGCGAGGACAAGCAGAGACAGAGGGAAGTAATAAGGAAACGGGATTGCTTCACTCATCTCTGCTGTGTTGGTTCGGTGTGACTGTAGCGGCGCTTCGTCGCGCTCTGTCTCTCACAGGGTGCCCCGTTATGAGTGCGAGAGAGAGTGCACTGTTGAGGAGGCAGCGTGCCGCTGTTTGTTTGGCTTCGCGGGCTTCGCACTGCGAGTGCCGCGACACCTTGGCGTCGTTGTCGTTCTAGTGTACCGCCGAGTCCCTTTCCAGTGGAGCGTTTTTGCGACCCAGCGGGCCGTCTCCGAGCGGCGTCGCGCTGTCTCTCTCGCACTCACGGCGCGTCCCTCAGCGCGCGAGAGAGACGGAGCACTGTTCGAAATCGGCGGCTCGTTACACGGCTGGAGTGCCGCGAGCAGCGAGACTGATTCTGAGAATCGTTTTCGTCGCTCTGCCTCTCTCGCACCCGTACGGGGCGCCCCACGAGTGTGAGAGAGGCAGGGCGACGCGTGAGTCTGCAGGGCGCCTGCGAGGTAGGCAGCAGCGCGGCACGGCTGCGCGCCGGGCTGCCCATGCTCCATGCTGCGGGCGGCGGAGCCGAGCGGAGCCGAGCAGAGCGCGACACGCTTGTTTTTTGAAGGCGAACGGTTAGCGGCTGCCTCGGGCTGACGGCCAGGTGAGACTAATTGTCGCCATCAACGCGGCCTCCCCTCTCCTCCTCCTCCTCCTCCTCCTCCTCCTACTCCTCCTCCTCCTCCTCCTCCTCCTCCTCCTCCTCCTCCACCTCCACCACCTCCACCTACTCCTCCTCCTACTCCTCCTCCGACTCCTCCTCCTCCTGTTCCAACTCCTCCCCCTTTCACTCCCCCAACCCCTCCTCAAGGTGAAGGTGAAGGCGAAGGTTCGGCACCTGCGGACTGCTTCCGAGAGTCCCTTTCACCGCTCTGTCTCTCTCGCACTCATGGGTCGTGTGCCGTATGGGTGCGAGAGAGGCAGAGCGGCGAAGGGACGACTCTCGGATAGTCTGCTGCGGCCAAGGCCAGGGGCAGCCAGGGGCGGCGCCTGCCAAGTGGCATCTTATTTCTGGACGTGGTGATGACGGCTCGCCAAATGGCTCGCCGTGCCGTGCCGTGGCGTCCCTTTGATCAAGGGGATACATAGTGGAGCGGCTGTGCCGCGTCGTGCCGAGAAGCGCCATTACGGCCGCGGTAAACAGGCAAGCCTGAGTGCAATGAGGCAAGCAGAAGTCAAGGATAATGTTTTCCGCGTGTTCTGCCCGGCCGTTTCAACGGGAGGGACGCGTTAAACTGTCCTGTCTGCGGTGACAAAACGTTACGATTATTTCAAGACATAAATAATCAACCATTTAATTCAGTTAAGGCTTGCGTTCAAAAACTTCTTTGGACTGAAAGGTTACCTTCTTAGTCATAGCAAATCAATGGTCGCAATCGTCAAATTTTTAAATTCAATATTTTCCACATTTTTTGCCGTTTTGTCGCTGACGGCGCGTCGCGCGTCGAGGCTCGGCCGATCGGTTCGTTCGGCCTGTCTGGGCCCCGCCGTGTGGGGACGGCCGGGATGGCCGCACACGGCTGCATAATTAGTGATCCGGGGAGTTTGTTTTGGCCGGAGTTTTCCGGGGCGGGGCGAGGCGGGGCGGGGCGGGGGCTCCAGAGCCAATCATGCGGACGGGGATTGATGTAAATTTCTCATGACGCGGCGCCATGAAATGGTGATAAGCGTCGCTCCCCTCGTCGACACCGCCACCGCGGCCACGACGATCCCCGCGGAGCGGATCCGCCTGCCGCCGGTCAGCGCGCCCATCAAAGGTGGCTCCGAACGTCGCTCCGTCTCTCTCGCACCCCTGCGGCACGCACCATGAGTGCGAGAGAGACGGAGCGAGGCAGCGGGCGAGGTGGGCCGCGCGAGGCACGCGCGGCGGCGGCCGGCCAAGGTGACATTTTGATGCAGATGAGGCGGCAAATGAATGGGGGTGGGGAGGCAGCGCGCCCCATCGAGGGTATCGCCGCGGCGCGCTCGTTCCGAAGGCCGAGCCATCGTCGCTCTGTCTCTCTCGCTCCCACTCGCGTAGGGGTGCGAGAGAGAGACAGAGTCCGCGGCCAGGACCCTCTATGGTCGCCCCGCGGCCAATCTGCCGGCAGGGATGGAAAGTCGAGGCGGGGAATCGTAGATTGAGGGATGTAATGAGCAGCTGCCTGTCTGTCTGTCTGTCTGTCTGTCCGTCCGTCTGTCTGTCCGTCTGTCCGTCTGACTGTATTGCCATGTCGGTGCGTGCCGTGTAAGCGTATGCGTGTGTGTTTGTATTTGTGTCTGCCGAGGGGGAACGGCCACAGCAGTCGTATGTGCGGCCAACAACATACCCTCATGCCAGCATCCGTGCAACATTTACACACACACACACACACACACAGAGACGAGAGAGAGAGAGAGAGAGAGAGAGAGAGAGAGAGAGAGAGAGAGAGAGAGAGAGAGAGAAAGCATCACGGTCAAGCGTCGCCGTATCGTGCTGTGTTTGTGCAGGCGGGTGCAGGGCGTGCATCGACCCCGTCTTTGCGTTGCACGGCGCGATGTTCTCCGCGTCACGTGGTCCGAAGTCCCGATGCAATGCTTCGCACCGAATGCGTGCTGTCGTGCACTTCGCCAACCCAAGCACAACTTTGGTTGTTTTTATCTGAGGAACGACAACAACAAAAACACCAACGACTTTCGTCAGTTGTTCGGAAGTGTAGTATGCTGTTGCGGGGCGGGCCAAACCAGTGGTCATGTGGGGCTTATCGACTCTTTCTGTCTCGTCTGTGTGTGTATGTGTGTGTATGTGTGTGTGTGTGCGCGCGTGTGCGTGTGCGCGCGCTACAGAAAGGCACGGTGACTGAGCAGGGGTGCGTGGGAGGGAGCGAGCGCTTGGCAGTGTGGTAGTGAGTTGGAGAATGTGTATTGTGATTAAGCGCGGTGATTAGGCGTGTTTGCGGTCAAGCTAGTGCCTGCGGCGGGGGAGGGGGAGGGGGGGCGCCGCGGTCGCGCAACGCGAACGGAGAGGAGCTGTCTGGGCGGGTCGGCCCACCGGTTAGTCTGGTGTTTCCTTGCGCGGAGATTGGCGCGCCGCCCCACTGGATCCGCTCCAGTGTGGCAAGGCGACCGGACCCCCGTGCATTTATTGGACCAGTTTGTCGTGGTTCACGTCTATTCTGTGACGACAATGCGCTGAAAATTTAAGTTTCTTTACTAGTTTTTCTCGCAAGAATGCCACCTCAAACCATCGACACTGTTACATTGTAGTCAATTCGTGGTGAAATTCTCATCGTTTTCAAAATTGAAGACATTGTCTGAAGACAACACGGTCTTCGACTTTTTTCACGATGTGGTAACTAATTTTCTCCAGTGTGTCGTGCCCCCCAGAGGGCGTGCGTGCAGTGTACACAGTTATTACAGGACGTTTAAATGCGCATTGTAGCCAGCCAGTCTCCTACACAGTTAATTACCGTCGTCGTGCTGTTGGCGGCGGCAGTCTCTCTCTCTCTCTCTCTCTCTCTCTCTCTCTCTCTCTCTCTCTCTCTCGTACACTGTGGCAAAAAGGTACGGAAAATCCTGTTAATTTTTTTGCCAGGATTCTCCGTAGCCCTCTTATCAATATTCTCCGTAGGCTCTTACAGTATTCTCCGTAGGGCCGCACAGTATTCTCTGTAAATCCGCACAGTCTTCTCCGTAGGACCTCGAAGACTGTATAGTCCTACGGAGATCACTGTGCGGTCCTGCGGAGAATACTGTGCGGTCCTACAGAAAATACTGTAAGAGCCTACGGAGAATATTGATAAGGGGCCTACGGAGAATTACCACAAGCTCACTGTAAAAATTATCGTGCCATTCACGATACTTTTCACAACAAATTAAGCACGACACTGGTACAACCACGCTTCGTGCCAAAATGTATTGTGATTTCTGATAACAAGTGCAGTCGTGCTTGAATAAGACGATACAATATTGTTCCACTTGTCGTATGATATCAGCACAAAATAAAAAGACTAATTGCTGGAGGATTTACCGATGATGTTATTGAGCTAAACTATGAATTCTATTTCTATAAGACACTTGCCCTCATGATCATTCTTAGAGTTATCAAATGATAAGAGATTGTCAAAATTAAAATAACTCATGAATTTTTGTTATCAATTAGGGTTTTGCAATAGCAAGCACTTTTAACCTCGACCAAACAATGTTCCGTGTGCCGTCTCATAACAACAAAGTAAGAAGTACCGAATAACTATAATCTCAGGGCTATACTTGTCTTTACATAGTTAACCAAGAGATCTTTACCAGACCCAACTGATATTATTCCCTAGTAAAAAAGTTTTCTAGCAATGCCAAATCACAAGCTAACTGTGCACCTGGGAACTCAGACAACAACCAACAATAGGCTGATGGTCACCAATTTGTTTGTCAGAAAGATTTCGAATGACGAGGTGGCAAGTCATAAAATGGAGGAAATTCACAACATACTTCCGTAGCTTTCTATTGCCCTGACGCAATGACACCAGTCGGTATTAATTCCACCTCTATTTAGCATTTGTAGACAAAGATTGTTCATACAAGGTAAACAAGGGAGAAGTTTTGTCTGCTGTGGAGTGTCAATAATGGAAACAAGGATGAAAAATATATAAACGAGACTATGAGAAATTAAAGAGGCCGTACTCGGCACGGTGAGACGCTGTGACAACAGAAGAAATGTTCCTAAAAATATTTCCGGAGAGTTTGGTGGCGCTTTTTATCAACATGATCCATTGGGTGGATAGAATGAAATGAAAGATCAATGAGTCGAGGTTGACACTGATATTTCGTCCTTTGAGTTCTGCCTTGCACCGTTTCTGTTGTTTATTGTGTAGTGTCGTGAGTACAGTTATAAGGTTAAGATGGACATTTGTTGTTCACATTTGCTATCCTTGTTGCTTAATGATTTTTTCTATGACTAGTTTTTAAATATCTTGTTTAGAATGGCCACAACTTGAAGTTTCAACAAATGACGTGAAGCTGAGCTGTTTGCTGTGTTGAAGAACAAGGATTACAGTAACTGCGCTTCCACCTCTATTTAGCATTTGTAGACAAAGATTGTTCATACAACAGATGTAAGCAGAAACACAAGACATTCAATGATGAGGTAGGTTTAAGTTTTTACAAAGAGCATTATGGTGATGGCAATGCAGTTCTGCATCAACTTTATTTTTAAAAATTTCTAGGTGGAGCACTGATGTGTTCAGTAACCTCAAGGAGTATATTCAATGCAATGCCAAGTTCTCAACACACAAGAAGAAACTCGTCAAGTCAACTCTGCAAGACAACGTCTGAATTTCATCCTCGCTGTTTGTGGATCCAAAAGTTGTGATCAATGTTCTGATGTCCAGCTAGATTTTTATTGTGTCTTGAAAAAAAATTGTTTGAATTTTTTCAACTTAGATCAACTAACACCTTTACTTGTAAAAATATATTGGCTAAAATTAAATTGAAGCATTTCATAGACTTTTGACTACATTATTTGAAAATCCAGTTGTACTAAGAATCATGAAAGTATCGTGGATACACAATCTTTACAACTAAGTCGTAGGAGCACAACAATATCACAACTTTATCGTGATTTTGAGAAAATTTTGCCACATTGTAAAAAGTCACGATAATTTGCACAATTTGTTGTGGTTTTCTGGTACGACTTAATTGTCATCTTGTCGTATAGGGTACGACAAGAGGCACAATGATGTCGGCTAAAACATTGACCAGTGCTTGTCGTGCCATTTGTCGTGGTTTTTTCTAACAGTGCTGTTTACAGAATTTTCCGTAGCTTTTTGCCACAGTGTAGCGTAGCGAAGCGATTTGCCGGCCGGTCGATATGAATATGACGAGATGCGAAATTAGAGTGGCCCTCCCTGCCCTGCCCGGCGGGGGACTGCCGACGCCAAGGGGCAAGCGGCCGCCAGGGCCAGGTCCGGCCAGGCCACCCCGAGCCGGGCCCAGGCCGGGCCACGCTGATTTTACATTTATATTGCTTCCCTTGTTGACCCCTGGCAGTGTATCGGGCGGCCGAACGCGGAGCAACAGCAACACGCTCGGGCCGGCCATGCGCAGCCCCAGACGGCGCACGCACATGGCGGGCCTATCGCGAATAATCTGGTCTCCGTCGAGAATGGCCTCGTTTCACAGACGTGTTTCGTGGCCGGATTCTGGAGGGCCGGGAATCGGACGGGGAGACATCTGTGGACGTTCGGTGTTTGGGCCGGAAAGGCCGTCGCTGTTGTCCGTTTCCTTGACGACGCTTCCAGCTATTTTCTCAGTCGACGGCGATCTGGACCGACGGTGCTGCTCTCTGCGACCTGGCAGCAGGCTGATGCCGGGAGTCGTTTTCGTCGCTCCGTCTCGCTCGCACTCCTCCGGGGTCCCCAACGAGTGCGAGAGGGACAGACGGGGCTCTCGGAATCAGTCTGCAGGGCCTGGTGGCATTCCCCGGCAGCTTCGATCCATCAATGTCCGATGCCATCTCGAAGCGATACTGGCCGGGTCCAGCCATTCCGTCCGAAGAGTCGTCACATCGCTCTGTCTCTCGCGCACCCCTACGGCACCCCCCACCATTGTGAGAGAGACAGAGGCGCCTCCACGGAAGCAGTCTGCAGGGTGGCCGCGACAGGACACGCGCGCCATTGTCCTGCTGGCCGGCTGCCTTGGACACCGCCGGCAGGATATATTTTTTACCCCGCTTGTCACGCCTGCCCTTGTTTTCCGCCAGTGGGCCAGCTGGGCCAGGTGGGCGATGTCACCCCGTGTCGGAGCGGGCCGGGACGGAGCAAGCCGTTTTGTCACTGGCAGTTTGCTTTAATCTGGCCGATGCGATGCCGGCGGCCCGGCGGCCCGCTTAATGCAGACAGCTGCAAGATACGCATCGCGGCAGATTCTTCACCGGCTTTGCTTTAAGGCGCGCCATTAAGGCCAGCGCGACGCAGCTAAAGCGGCCAGCATTGCTCCCGATTTTGGGGAGCTGTGCCCCTGGAACGGGGAGCGGTAACGAGGCCACGGAGCAAAATTAATTAGAAATAACACAAAAACACTGTTTTGATTTGTTTTGCTGTTTTGGGGTGTTCTGTGGATGGGTAGGTACGAAATGTTCAGTTTGATCATGCTCTTAGCACTTTACAAAATACTCAGCTTTATGTGCAAGGTCCTGTTTAGCTTGGAAGGTTTTTTTGAGAGTGCGATTGTGATGTTCCAACCAAGATTTTGTGGAAAGTTGCAGAAGTCACCAAGCTTTGGATCTGCGAAGCAGTGAAGTCACGAAGCAGTAGAGCTTTAGGTAGTGGAATCATCAAGTATCAAGCGATAAAGCAGTAGAGTTACCAAGCCGTGGATCCCCGACGCCACGAAGTCACCATTCGAGCAAGCAGTGAGACTCCAAGAAATGAAGTCCAAGCAGCACTAAGCAGTGAAACCCCAAAGCAGTGAAGTCACCGAACATCCAAGCAGTAGAGTCATCAAGCAATGAAGTCATCCAGCGACTGAGAAGTGAATCCACCAAGCAATCCACCTCCCTTAAGTGACGGAAACACCCAGCGACCATAAGCAATGGAGTCACCTAGCAGTGTCGCGACAGAAGACTCGCCAAGAGTCGCCAGCCCTGCGTGCGGCTGGCGTCTCTAGGTGCAGGCTTTATGGCCTCTGGCGGGCCTCTGGCGCGCCTCTGGCTCTCTGAGGCCGCGCGGCACTCAGACAGGCCGCTCTGCTCCGCTCCCGTCCGGCCGGCTGAAAGGCGCTCGGGAAGTGGCGGGATGTTCCGAACCCTTTCTGCTGCCCCTTTTACTGTCCCGATGGCGGAATGGCGGAGGCACAGTGTGACGGCACGGCTCGACACGGCTCGGCACAGAACTACTTGGCACGGCTCGGCACGGAACTACTCGGCTCGGAACAACTTGGCTCGGCTCAGCACGGAACTACTCAGCACGGCACCAGTGCAGTAGTGATTAGAAGGGCAGTGATGGCGTCGGCTGTTATCGCCCGAGGTCTAATGACTGATTAGGTGCGCCTCCATTTGTGGCGGTAGTAAATGGCGCTCTGCCCTCGGCAGCCCTTTGGCGGGTGTCAGCGAGGCGGTGTCGCTTTGCTGCGTTCGATTGGCTAATGAGCAGTCGAGTGCACTGTACACGGAGGTTGCTGTACACTGTACAAGCGTGACGTTTTACGGTCGCAGCTTTGCGCTCAAAGAGCTCTGAGGATATCCTCAGAAAAGGGGAGGAGTGAAGAGCACGAGGGTAGCACGCTTGAACAAAAGCATCATGTTCCTCCCTAAGTCTAACCAGTACAATATTTCTTGAAAATAAAATCCTTGCATTTTGCATTGTTTTCTTGCAAGATGTTGATGTTTCGTTAAGTTCAATGTACAAACTTTGACAGGGAAACGAGGACACATTCTGCCCCAGAGACACACAGGGCACAGTGTGGTGGCGACCTTGGGAATGTGGCGAGGCGAGTGATTCGGCGTGTGGAGCTCTGTATGGGCGATATTCTGAGAAGGACGAGAAAAGGGACGTCGGTCCGGCGGTCTGCGTTTCGCAAGGCCCTTCGCGACGAATTTCACGCACCGCGGCCTCGAAGGTCGCCGCGCCCCTTTTCCTTGTGTGTCTGCGTGTGGGAAGGGCGGGGACTCACTCCATTTGAATCTCAGTCCCCACTGTCTTCAAAGGGCGCGAGGATGGCTTGATCAGTAGGTTGGCGGAGGGATGTGTGTTCGTGTGCATGTGTGTGTGTGTCCAAGTGTAAATGAGCAAGATGAAGCTACTATCATGGCTATCACCATTTTTACCTCCATCACCATTGTCGTCGTCGCCATCATCATCATCTTCATCATCTTCTTCATCGTTGCCATTATTTCTTGGGCCTCTACAGACCCTCACTTGAGTGAAGCATCGGCAAGGAACATATGAATCAGACTGCGAACCTCACCCGTTGGCTAAAAAGGCCAAAATGGCAGGCTGTTGATCGATTGGCTGGAGCCTTTCCTCGGCATGTCATCCTCCTGGTGCCCCGGGCCCATAAATCCGACTGATATGGCGGACCGACATGCAGGCTCCACTTAGGCCCGCCGAATGGAATACAAATAGAGTTCGGCCAGCACCGCGGGGACGGCCTGAGCCGAGCCCTGAGCCCGACCCTGAGCCGTCCCCTGATTGGTTGCGATATATTTCTGGCTCTCGGATTGATACGGGTAACATCTTGTTGACTATGTAAGCACGCGACTTGGTGACATGGATTCCCTTCTTCAGCGCCCCGCCGCATCGGAAATGGCGCGCCTGAATATTCAATGTCACTCACACACGCAGTTCCACAAGTTTTACGCAAAGTTTTTTTTTCTGTGTTTGCGAACGGGGTGAGGAGCGCGCGGTAGCATTGTATTGGGGCAGGACGAGAGAGCGGCGGTGCCGAAAAGACGGTGGCCCGCGCGGAGTATGGCTGTCTGAAGATGATGTGGAGCTTCGCCGCCTCGCCGACCCGAATGAGGTGTACCTCACGGATCAGGCTTTTACAGTGTCACCACCGGGTGCCGCGGGGCTCGTTGTTGCTGCGTGGGTCGCAGGCAGGGCTGTCTTCCCCATCGGAAGCCCTGCCACAACGAGCTGTTAGCTCCTCGCAGCTTTTCCTCATGCCGTGTTGCCGTGTTTGCAGAAGGTCACGATAATGACGCAGCCACGGTCCAGGGAAGAAAAGCGAGTTCCCGTAGAGGAAGACTTGCCGGTCCGAAGTGATTGGTCACCGTGGCGTCCGGCACACTGAGAAAGTAATTTGGATCGTTACGCGCATTCGTCCGTCCGGCCAGACCGCCATTCGTCTGCGGCGATCCTCACCGTACCGAGTCATTCCGAGGGTTGCAGTGAAAAATGCCCCGCGCTCGTCTGCCCCGACTGACACACCGAACTTTTCACTGGCCAGACGATTCCGCTACCCCTTTTCTGTTGCTTTTTAACCCTCCGTCGAAAAGTCGGGCCGCGTTGAAAGAGAGCACTCTAAACGTCTTACAGTAAAAGGAAAATTTGTCGGGTAACACTCGGTTTGTATTTTCAAATGGCGTCGGTGACGACATCCGCAGGTAGGGCCTCTCCGACGCCCGTTCTATTGCGCTGCATCGCTGCTCGTCGCCAGCAGCTGACTCGAGGCTATATAAATTTTTCCCCGCGTTGTTATTATTTCGGCTTATTCCCGAAAGTTTGGCTCGGCCGTAAATTCTGGGGCCGCGGCGGCGCGTGGCACTTGTGTTGAGCCGTCGGCGGGGTTCGGCTTGGGGAGGGGGAAGGGGGCTCTTTCGAAATGAACCACCGTACGTGCCACTGATGGAGTCTGGCTGCACCACGCTGGGTCAGTGTTGGCGTTATAATATGCGGAAGGAAGAAAAACCCGACCGCAGTCCATATTTCCAACGCCAACCGCGACCGCAATTTTGGCGGCCTGCTTTTTCTCGGGGCGTTTTTGCACCCCTTTCCCGTCCGAGG